ATTCCGAGGTAGCTTGCCCAGGTTGTTGCTGATGGAAGCAGGTACTCCACAAGGCATCTTCCTCTTGGGGTTCTAGATGAAAAGTGGACCAAAAGCTCCTTTTCTGCCTTTGCTGTGAAACCTAGTTAATATTCTTCCCTGCTTCAGAGAGTGACTGCAGTCATGACATGTGTCTCTTTGCCTTGCCTCCTCCTGCCTGTGTCCTCACACATCCTTGTGGGACCCCCCTCATTATGGGGTACACTCCTGACCACAGGGTGCTGAGGACACAAAGCCCAAGGCTCCGCATGATGGGGGAATGGGCATCCCCTCTATACCGAAGAAGACACACTTAGATTTAGTCTCCAAGCTTGGCTCCTGACATTTCTAGAAGCTGAATCAATTTAGAAATAGCCTAATTTCTCTCCATAATTCTGATTCTCAAGACAAAAGTCCAAACTAAGGAAGAAGGAGGAGAAAGGGACAAAGAAGAAGGGAAGAAAAGATCTTACCTTAATAATAAAAAGTTGAACATAAATGTGTGTATTTATGGTTTACACATATAATTTAGCTGTGAATTCTGAGAACTACTAGGGCAGTATTTGAACTTTCCCTGAAAAACTCCCCTCAACAGACCACATGACAGCAAATATGGAGTGACACTTCGAAAGTCTCTGCCTCTGTGATTAGCAGCAAACTCTCAGGTTGAAGGGAATTCGGATTGAGAGGCACAATGAAATAGGTAAATTTTCTTTTCTATTAGGCATTGGTATGGGTTTAATCCTGTTCTCCCCCCACCACCACCACCCTGCCACCGCCAAGAGATATGCTCACATTTTAACCCACGGTCCCTCAGCACATGATCTTTATTAGAAGTCGGGTCATTGCAGATCCAGTCAAGGTAACTGAGGTTATTAGGGTGAGTCCAATCCACTAAGGCTGGGGTCCTTATAAAAAGAGATATTTAGACCGGCGGGCCCCAGCCAAAGACGGTGTCACGGCAGAGGGAGAAGGCCTGAGGGGGGCAGAGGGAGGCATGGAACAGACTCCCCCTCTGCCCTCAGAAGGAGCCAGTCCTGCCCACACCTTGATGGTGGACTTCCAGCCTCCAGAGCTGTGAGTATGCGACTGTCTATCATGGAAGCCAGTTGAGGGTACTTTCCTGTGGCCTCAGGAAACTGACACAGGCACCAGCCCTCAAAACTATGTCTTGCTGTGTTTTGAAATACCTGTGAATGTATACATGTAGTCACTGTCTGCAGCACATTACAAGGCGAGAATCCATTCTCTGAGATAAAGGAAAGCAGGAAGTTTCAAATCCTCACATCCCTGCCTCAGTCAGATGTGCTATTGTAACCACCCAGAAAGAAAAGAGATTGTGTAAGGACAAAACAGAACATGGACCTAGGGGAAACTGAGGCAAGACTTGCCTCACTGAACATGAGTGGGAAGAGCAATCAGAAAACATTTTCCTATCAGAAAGGGAGACAGAACATAAAGACTCCTAACTCTGGGAAACGAACTAGGGGTGGTGGAAGGGGAGGAGGGCGGGGGGTGGGGGTAATGGGTGATGGGCACTGAGGGGGACACTTGACGGGATGAGCACTGGGTGTTATTCTGTATGTTGGTAAATTGAACACCAATAAAAATTAATTTATTAAAAAAAAAAGAAAACATTTTCCTACAGATACACAAAATATCTGGCGGGGAGAAAGACAAGAGACATCTAGAACACAAAGGAAGATTTCAGACCATGAGGAAGAGGAACTTCATTCTCTCCCGTAAGATGGATATGTTGTCAAAGAGACGGAAAGCTACCAGCACCATTAAAAATAGTGAACTACGGAAAGAGATGTCTTTACCAAAGCCATTTCATTTTGTTCTCGTGGGCAAACACTTAAAATCGATATTCACAAGCCTCTACTTGCAGACCCTCCAATGCACAGGGCATTCTGCATGAAGTATTTGATTGGGACTCTCTACTGCTACCTGGTGGCAACATACACACATTTAAAAAGCCAAATAAGAATACTTCAGGGGCTCTAATGCAAAATACCATGTGCTGTGACAAAGGTCATCCATGAGAAACACATCATTCGGGAAAGGATATATAATGAGAAACCTACTGGGGGGAAAAGTGCAATTTTCAAGAATGGTCCAATCATGAAAACATAGCTTCTGAAAAAGTAGAAAAAAAATTTTTTTTGGTCTCACTGGTGCAGTGATTGATAGGCTTTACAATCTGAACAATAACCACAAACGAATCTAGCATCCCACTGATGTCTTCAGAAGTTACTCATGATGTCAGAATACAGTGTTTTTCAATGGTCTGTTTATTAAAAGTCCATGAAGTAAGGTCTTATCTAAGACCATATGAAAGAGTGTGCCTCAGTATCCCTTGGTATGCCGATGACTGTGCTACCTTGGCACTGGGTGGGCAGAGCTGGTCTCCATTCTGCATCATCAGGTTGAAGCCAGGTGTTCTGTTTTTAGACCAACTGCTCTTGGTTGATTCGAATGGATAAAGAAACAGCGAAACACATGGCTGACCATCATCAGCGACCTTATATGCACTTTTTACCTCTCACTCAAAGTACAGCCATTACTTGATTGTGTGATGAGTCGTAAACACATGAGTGGAAGTAGAGCTCCCTACCTTAGCAAGAACACAGGCTGGGGAATACTATGGTGCTCCAAGAAAAAAAGAAGAAAAAAGAAAAAAAAAAGAAAAAGTAAGTTGGAAAAGTCTATTTCCTAGAAACCCACATTATTTGGACAAGCTTATAAGTCAGGGAAAAAACAACATCAGAGTCATTCTTGCTTCATCACAGTGTCTGATTTTGCCAAATTCTCTCCCACCAAGTGCACACCACATTTGGGAAAGCAAACGGCTGTAGGCACGAAAACCAGGCTCTAGTTATGCGTGAGTCAGACAGTTGTGTGTAACACCTTCTCTGATGGATATATATTTTTGAAACCTTTCAGTTAAGAGAGATCAAAAGCTTCCCAGAGGTTGAAATTAAAGCCCAGAATTGTTTATAAAATCTGAGGAAAACAGAACCCAGAGTGGAGAAGAAAACAACACTAATTTGGACTTGAGCAAGGTGCTACTGAAATGTATCCTAGTAAGAAGTGGACATGTAATTTAGACAAGAAGGTGTAAAATAATTTTTAATTATGCAAGTGATATGTGATTGTATTCTTCTCTTTAAGAATTGTTTTAAGTATTGGAGTATTCTAAATGATCTAAGCCAAGATCACTCCCCATAGCACCTATCCCCTCTAAAAAGAAGCATTGTGTTTTCATGTTTTCAGTTTGGGGTATATCCTCTCAAATCTTAAAAAATGTATACACACACACACCTACAGAAATACACAGTTTATGTGTATGTATGTTTTTATGTATGGTATCAATAAACAATATGCTTTCCATGCTGATACTGCAACCAAACAATATCTTGAAATGGTCATCTTTGTGGCTATTCCTCCCAGTCCATCATTTTATTAACAACTCCTATGCAGAGATCTCCAAGTTGACTTGAGAAGAACTCAGGTTGTCTAAGGAGAAATGAAAAGAGCACAAGAAAAAACTATGGTGCCTGTGTGCATGTGTGCATGCGTGTGTGTGTGTGTGTGTGTGTGTTTTATTACTTGGAAACCAAATGGGAAAACCCTAAGAGAGCAAAACAAGTACAGAACATATGCCTAACAATGAGAGAACAGAAGGAAAGACGGATTACAGTTATGGCTTCCCAAAAGCCTTTTACAATGCTATTGTCCAAGAACAACACTGGGTTGATGCTTTAAGGGTCTGACACAGAAGTCACATAAGCGTCTATGAATGGCAGGTAATGTGAACGACACTCTCTCCAACTATGAACTGGCACTTGTGCCTTCAATGCTGGGAACACAACAGGGAGCAGTGTGGATGAAGGCAAATGAAACAGTGTGCCCTGATGGGAAAGCCACCGGTATCCAGCTGCCGCCAACTATTGCTACAAACAAGGGTAAGCTAGTAGTCAGATCTTCCCATTTTTAAAGAGGAGTGGGGGGCAGGGAGGGAAGCCTGGCATTTTTATGTTACAATCCTTGATTTTTAAATGTTGACCATTTAAAACTCAAAATTTCAAAGCAACAACACTGTGCCCTCAACACTTGGCTGGTCCCACCGTAGGCAGAACGTGGAGCACGGGACATGTGTCTTCAATCAGAAACATTCTTTGACAAGTTAATATACGGAACACACAGTTCTTTTTGAAGGCACTGGGTCTTTGTATAGGTAAAGCAACTCCTGGAGATCAGGGCTACTTGTTTTCCTCCATTTCCATTCAGAATGGGTCTCCAAAAAGGGATGGGACAAAACCACCCACTGAAACACCCTTTCCTTTTTTCATGTATCAGGTATTTTGAATTTTATCAGAAGAAGTATCACACTGTGTCACCTTAGAAATATATTGCCCAGTACCTTTCGTATCCTCTGAGTGAGGAAGGATGCACCCTGATTCACCCAGAGAGGGACACAGGCCCATGGTTATGCTCAAGAAGACTTCTTAGAGGAGTCCCTTATGACCATGCCCGACAAGCACGCGTAATGAGACACAACTGAGGAAATGAAGAAGGAAGGAAAGGACGAGCCTCTGTCTTCTCTGCTGTCCTCTGCAAGGAGAGAGAGAGCATGCACAGTGGCACAGCACCCGTTTCAGACGTGGAGCATTTAACCAGGGACCATTTTCACCATCTAAAGGTTTACAAGTGAATACAGTGGGAATCTACAAATGCAAAAGCAAGCTCACCCCTATAAAAGTGAAGTTTGTTTCTTAACTAGTGGGGTTAAGGAGCAGACACTAGAGAGAGAGATGAACCATTTTTTAGGAATCCACTGCCACGATGGAGAAATTAATAGTACATGCTCTGCACAGAAATAATTACTGATGACGTCCTGCTGAACAAACTCAATTTTTTAAAAATTCAAGATGTGCTGAGCTTCAGATGCAGGGCACTGACGAAGAGTCCCATCCTACCTTGAAGATGAAATCAGCCATCAGAGGTCCTGGAATCTTAAAAGTCTGCCTTTCTGAGCCCTTCTGAAATTCAACTGTGGTATTTTCTATGACAAAAACTCCTGGGCTGTTAAAGCTGTGTTCTCTTTTGCTTCCTTGAAGTGTTTTTGATTCAATAACTAAAATTTAAAAAGAGAATTTAAGTGAGAGGACTGTCTTCAAAGTATTCTATTTCAAAATATAATTCATCACAAATATCAGCATATGATATCAACACAATATCAGTATATTCACTTAGTTGACATTGACTCAGATCGGTGGAATACATATGTAAGCCTTTTAGTTGTCCACAACTAAAAATTGGTTAGGTCCAGTTAGGTCTATTCAACTCTTTGGAGCCATTTCTACAATAAGGGGAAAGAGAAAATGTCTCTTTCTTCATACTTTTTCATAATACTGCTATTACTCAAGGTAAAGACAGGTTACTCATTTCATCTAACCGAGAAGATCTTAAGCATGGTCTTTTATTTAGACAAAACTGCCATGAATTTTGAACTTGCTTTTTTAAAAACATAAACTTTTCGTATTGAAATAATCATAGATTCGCAGGAAGTTGCCGAAATAGCAGAGGTCCTATGCACTGTTTATCCAGTTTTACCCAGAGGTATGGTTACGTCTTATGTCACTAGAGTATAACATCAACAGCAGGAAATTGACATCGGGGCAAGGTGTGCATTCCTATGCCGTCTTCTATCACACATCACCATGGCCGAGATACAGAACTGTTACATCACCACAAAGATCTTTGTCCTGCATGTTACCTCTTCACATAAACTTTATATGAACAGAAGGGCTTTTAGAACTCCTACAGAAAAATGTCAACAGTTGGACCAAAATAGCATTTCTACTTTATTTAAATGATTTTTCATTCCTCACCTTTTTTCCTCCTTTCATTTGATAAATATCACTATAACTTGGTGGACCTGGTCTGAGGTTGAGAGGGGCAATTTTTGTCAATTAAAAAAAAAAGGCACAGCTAGGGGCTGGGGCATCTGCAATTTCTGACCCCAACTCTATCTCTAAGCCTTGGGTTTTCACTGTCTCATTTCTAAAATGTGAAGTCAGAGCAGACAAACTCGCAGGTCCTCTTCTGTTCTGAAACCTACACTTGATTTGCAGATATTCAGTGGTTCTTTGACCACCTTGAACAAAGGACACAACAGAACCCGAACCCTAGGAAAGGGGATAAAACATAACAAAACCATTTGGCACTGGGGGCTGCAATCTGCATGCGGTTGTGCTTGGCTGTTTTCCTTTGATTTGCCTCTGCCCCTGGAGCATCTGCAGGAATCCAAGTTCCCTAGACAGACTGTATAACAGGCATTAGGAGACATCCCTGATTATGCCTGACAGGCAGGCTGGGAACTTTTCTGGGAAAATTCAAAGGCTGGACATGAGCTCCTTGATCTGCAGGAGTCATTAGCGGTCGAAGAATACTGCTGGCTACTCTCAGGCACACAAAACCCCAACCACGTTGGCCCTGATCTCCATGACCGCAGTAGGTTTTTGGAAAGTGCGAGATTAAATTCATTTCCTAGTTCCAATGAAGATATAAAACTGAGTGTTATAAAGTGAGCTGTCAGTAAAAATGAGGTGGGAAACTAGAGATGGTAAGAAGGTCCTACCCTGAGTGGATTATCCCTCTAAAGTAGAGGAGAAGATAGAGTGAGCATTCCGGCAATATCGCAACACAGAGTGAAGCTGGACAAAATCCATCCTTGTGGAAGGCCTGTAAAACACCAAGCTTCTAGATGGAGGTTCAGCCTGAAATGAGTTTACTAAGTTCAAGTGATGTGCTGTGCTGGGGTAGTGATGGTTTCAGCACGGTGCTAGCCTTCTGGACCCCAGCGTCCGAGTGCCATCGGGCTGCAGACAGCAGGGGTATTAGAATCTGGAGAATCAGGGAGGAAGGGAAGATTAGTAGGACAGCTACCCTCTAAAACCAAAGGCCAGCATTTCTGTTAGTCTGGTCCTGGTGTTTTGTCTTTTGGTGTCAAGTCTATTCCATTGGACAGCACCCAAGACCTTTAATGGCTAGGACATGAGAACTCAAGCAGCAAAGTCAGTTGTCAAGTGCATGTGAATTATCCAAGCCACTCTTTTCCTCCACTGAACCATATGCTTATGATAAAGTGTCTTCACTGCGATTCTTTCAAAAGGCTTCCAGCTCTAAAGGTCACAAACACCATTTGCATACATAGAAGGTAGAAGGCAGGTGCTCTGACCTCTAACTGAGTCAAGAAATGGGCGAATAAAGACAGGGGAAGTGATCTTATGAGGGTAGAGTTCATTGATACAAACGACTTTGATCATTGCATTGACAAAGTAACTGTGATGGATCCCCAGGTGATATGGAGGTCAATGTAGTTTTTCAAAAGTTGTCATTTTTGCTGATGGCAAATCTGCCTCCCCTTAGTGACTATGCCTCTTAAAATAAATAACAGAATAAGGGTTTGTAAAAACCAACAATACAGATGATGCACTGACTTATAAATACACATTTTATTTTAAGTTTTGTTAATTTCTAGCATTCCACTGTATTTGACTGCAGCCCTATGTCATGCTAATATATAATTCATGGCTCGTGAGACTTGCACACACATGGTCCTTGAACTCTCAGAGCTTTCCCTTTCCCCTCTGTGGTTCTGCAGCAAGAGAGCTCATGCTGGGTGGAGCCCCAAAAAAGTCTATTAAAATACCCACCACTGTGGGAAGCACATCTCTGCTGTCCACTGCCAATTTCTTTCCCCTCTTCAGCCTTAAAATGGTAAATGGTGGGGGGGTCGCAGAGTACGGTCAAGAAAGACATAGTATGTGGCCTCGACCAGATAAAAGTAGAATCAGAAGTCAGAATCCTCCTAAATCTCCCAAATCTTCACAACTCAAGTCTATAATGGTGCCTTTAAATATTTAAAGGTCCATCCCATCTTTAAAGATGATGAAAGCTTTTGCTGCTTCTAGAGGGAAGGGTGTGTACAGAGAAGTACCAGTCCAGGCTTCCTTCAAAAGAGACAGCCTCCTGCTCACCATCCCCAAAAGGTCTCCTTACATTCTAAGGCCATAAAAGTATCATTAGGTAAATGTAAGGAATGTTCAGCACAGGTAAGTCAGTTATAAATACACCAACTTAGGCTTAGAGTGTGGTATTTTACAGCACATGGGCACATCATCCAACATCCGTGTCCTTTGGTCATTATGCATCTATGTTTATGTTTTTAGAGTTGACCCTTCGAACAACATGGATTTGAACTCTGCAGATGCACAGATACAGGGATATCCTTCCTAAATACAGTCCAGTACTGTAGATGTATTTTCTCTTCCTTATGACTTAATCAGATTCCCTTCTCTCTAGCTTACTTTATTGTAAGATTACTATATCTAATACAAATAATATAAAAAATGTGTCAACCGCTTATGTTGTCAACAAGCCTTCTGCTCAATAGCAGGCTGTTAGCAGTTAAGTTCTGGGGGGAGTCCAAAGTGTTACACATATTCTCCACTGTATAGCAGTTGGTGCCCCTAACCCCCACATTGTTCAAGGGTCAGCTGTATATGTCAATGTGTGATCATCAACAGGACTTTAGAGGACAAAACAACAACAACATAAATGATTCTTCCTATCAATAATGGAGGTTTTCAGTGTATGGCATCTTGGCTTCTCAAGTCTACTGTTAGTGAAACACATTTAACGCTGAAGTTTTGCTACAATAAAATCTCTTTTGCCGGAATCTTCTTATTGCTTCCATTTTTGAAGTTTTAGAGAAATTTGGAACTATGTAGTTGGGATAATGCTGGGTCCAGGTGTGTGACAGGACTGGAAATTGAGGATCTAAACAACTCTAGGCAAACAGATAAGACAGCCATTCCAGAAAGTGATCTTACCATTGTTGGGTATTCCCAGTGCTTCATGATATAGACTTTTGGAGGGTTGTAGTTAATACAGACCTTAAAAATGATTTATTACAGCAAAGTAACCTTTATTTCAGGAATATATCTTTGTTTCAAATAAAAAATTAAGAAAACAGTTGTATAAATCAAGAAAATAAAACCACTTCTATATTTAGGTGTTCAGAAATGTTAACTAATCCTTTGTAAATCCTTTGTAAGTGAAGCCAGTTCTATTCATCAGCAGAGAAGGGTAACTTTCAGAAACCCTCCCAGAGCCAACTGCAAGATGGTTTAGAGGAGAAATATTCCAAGCAATGGTTCTGTCACCTTTGGAGAAATGGGAATGTTTCTGAGCCTTGTTCTTGGAGCAGTGCCAGTTTTGAAATCTAAAGTTATGTTTAATATGCCAGAACATATTTGCATGTAAATGAATATTCTGCCTCCAAGTATTCATCTTTGCTTATTCTGTTTACTGTCTACTTATTCTGGTTTTGCAACTTACAAACCTATTTTTGGAGCTGAAGTTTTGGGAATTGCCATTAGCATCATGAGAAAATTAGGTCCAGTCACTGAATATTTTTTAAACATCCCTTTGATATGCCATAAAATTCACATGCCATGAAATTCACCCATTTATAACATAGTTTAACAATTTCAGTATATTCACAGAGTTGTGAAAACATCACCATGATCTAAGTTTAGAATATTTTTGTCATCCCCAAAAGAAACTATACCCACTAGCAGTCATGCCCTCATGTCCCCATCAACCCGACGTCCCCCAGCCCCAGACAACCACCAATCCACCTTCTATCTCCATAGATTCGCTTATTCTGGACATTTTATATAAATGGAATCATATGTGGCCTTTTGCAACTGGCTTCTTTCACTCAGCTTTGCGTTTTCAAGGGCCATCCATGTGGTAGCATGTGTCAGGGCTTCATTCTCTGTTATAGCTAAATAATATTCTACATATGCCACATTTTATTTATCCATCCATCAGCTGATGGACATTTGGATTATTTTTACTTCATGGTTATTATGAGTAACTCTACTATTAATATTCATCACCTTGTACTTCTGAATCCCAAACTGTATATTCCAATACAATCCTTCAAATGATTCACAAAATTTGGACCTGAATAATCTTTTACCTCTTTTCAAAAATACAGTTCACATTTACAAGGATGAAGATTTACTCTCATCAAGAGCTATAGGCTTTAAGCCATTTAAAAAAGCTTAGAAAATGTTTTGATGTTTCCTTACTAAGAAATCCTTGAATACAGTGACCATTTTAGGATTGTAAAGATTTTAGTATTTTAGTTTAAAAAAATTGGTCACACCCTTTTAATCATAATTGATAAAATAAAGTTAAGGGTTAAAAAAAAAAGACTTTCAAACAGTCATTCACCCTTATAGCTCCAATATCTTTGGATATTGGAAGCAAGATTTTCTCTTGCTTTTCTAATTGCAATAATAATATATTACAGAATTTCTTGTTTTTTCAAGATTTTAATCTACTGGGGTGCCTGGGTGGCTCAGCAGTTGAGTGTCTGCCTTCAGCTCAGGGTGTGATCCTGGGGTTCTGGGATCAGGCTCCCTGCATGGAGCCTGCTTCTCCCTCTCCCTCTGCCTCTGCCTCTGCCTCTGCCTCTCTCTCTCTCTGTCTCTCCTGAATAAATAAATAAAATCTTTTTTAAAAAAGATTTTTATCTACATTGTTGGTGATCTTAAACATTTTTACTTAAACATTTTGACATAGACTTTTCTTTTTTTTAATTTTTTTTTAAATTTTTATTCATTTATGATAGTCACACACACACACACAGAGAGAGAGAGAGAGAGAGGCAGAGACATAGGCAGAGGGAGAAGCAGGCTCCATGCACTGGGAGCCCAACGTGGGATTCGATCCCAGGTCTCCAGGATCGCACCCTGGGCCAAAGGCAGGCGCTAAACTGCTGCGCCACCCAGGGTTCCCGACATAGACTTTTCTTAAACAATATTTCTAGTTGGAATATTACTACTGAATTCAACATATGCAAATACACACACACATACATGCCCATGCATGCACACACCCACACACCCACACACACACACACTTAAAATTTACCAAAGACACAAGATGTTTGTTGCCCAGAGAAAATTGTATGAGTCAAAAATCTAGGATGATGGCTCAGGAAAAAATAAAAGGCAAACTATGTAGCACTTTGATCCAGTAGACCTTGATTTGTATAGCTTTAAAATAGTTATAAGTATTGTTTTGTACTTTTATGGAAAGAGACGGCTGAACTCAGTAAGCTTCCTCAAGGCCAGGGAGCCAGTCTTGGCAGAGACGCATTCTCCCCTGAAAGAGACTAAGAAAGTCCTGTCTCTGGCCACAAGAAGACCTTGGGAAAGAAGCAGACAAACTCTGTTATTTCCTGTTCTATTAGGTCCTAAGAGACCAAAAACAAAGAAGAGATGCCATCTGACTTTGGCCAAAGAAACAATATAGTGGCAATCTTCTATCATTTCAAACTCAATATTCTGGGAAACCAGTATTTCTTTTTGCTGCCCCTGTGCCTGAAGTTGTGATGTGCTGGCAACAAAGCTTATACTTTTCAGCTATAATCACTGATATGGTTTGGTGTTTCAAAAAAAATTTCTTTTGTCCCACACTTTTGAAATCTCTAGAAAACTCTTGAACCCTATTCTGCTCTCCACACAAAAATAGTTTATTTCCCATACAACCTGATTTCCTCTCCCATGAGGAGGTTAATCCCGAATTGATTTATTTCCAAACACTGGGGCATGAGAATAGACAAGTTCAAGGTATTGATCATTCCCTAGTGATATAGATGATTTCAGAGTGGTCAGCAAAATCCTTGAGATATTTTCCTATCTACTCATTAACACAAAGAAAGGGCTTTTTTTTTTTTGGCTAAATAAACTATCAGGAATTAAAAATATGTTAGGATTAAATTGTACTTACAAAGATGTGCTGGTCCTTTCACTGTAATTCTTACACTTCGACTTCCCAGAGGAACAGCAATTACATTTTCTTCCCCTAGGAAAGAATGCAAGGCAAATGTAAAACTTGTGCACAAAAGGCCTATCAAGATAAGTAAGTAAATAAAAACCGGAGGCATTTGCAAAGGGCTTTTTAACTACACTTCCATCTTACAGTCAAGAAATCTCTGGAAAGCACCTAGTGTTTATAAGGCATATTCATACTACTCATAATTTCATTTTAATGCATTAAAGTAAAACATTAAAGAAAAGTTTGAAATGAATGCACTGGCCTACCACCTCATCTGCCTTAATCCCTCATCCACCTGCTTTGATGGGGGTGGGTCAAAGTAGGTCCCTCAGGATGAGTCTGGCAACACCCATTCACTTAAGGCTGCTTTACCCTACATGAAGGTAGAGTTGAGTAGTTGTAACCAAGACAACATGGCTCACAAAGTCTAACCTATTTACTAACTAGTCAAGGCTCATATATAGAATTTTACTCAAGTAGTCCTTGATTTGAACATTAAGCCTGTTTCTAAATGGTATTAGCATATTATCAGTAATATGGATTACATCAAGCAGATGTTTTTGTTGGTTTAACTTATAGAGAACAATTTTTTTGGATAAATTATTGGGTGAAATTGTTGGATCAAAGGATGTTACTGTTTGCTGACTTATCTGTAAGTTTTTATTAGATGAAAATATCTGTTTACTATTGAAAATTTTAAAATGCAAATAAGCAAGAAGAGAAAATAAAACTTTCTAATCTTGCTACACAGAGATCATCACTTCTAACACATGGATAATAATTCTTTCCATATTTTCTGTTTGTTCCTAACATACATACATGCAATAAACAAAACAAGACAATGAACACTATTTAAATGTCCATCATTGTGGGAAAGATGAAACAATGATCTACCTATATTAAGAAATACTTTACTAGTGATAAAAGTAATGATAAGAAACTATAGACTTGATGTGGAAAGAAAGCTAACATATGTACTGATGAATAAAAAAGGAAGTTAAAAGATAATATATATAGGCAATTATTTCTTGGATATAACACCAAAAGCACAGGCAACAAGTGAAAAAAATAAATAAACTAGACTACATCACAAACTTTTGTGCATCACAGGATACTCAGCAGAATAAAAAAGCAACCTATGGAATGGGAGAAAATATTTACAAATCACATATCAGATAAAGGGTGAATATCCAGAACATATAAAGAACTTGTACAACTCAACAATAACAACAAACAAATGATCCAAAGTAAAAATGGGCAAAGGACTTAAACAGACATTTCTCTAAACAGAATATACAAATGGTCAATAAGTGCATAAAAACATTCTGAACATCACTAGTCTTCAGAGAAATGCAAATCAAAAACATAATAATGAGATCCTATTTCACATCCATTAGGCTAGCCATTATTAAAAAAAAAAAAACAACAGAAAATAATCCTCAGAATGAGGAAAAATTGGAATGCTGTGAACCACTGGTGAGAATATATAAAATTGTTCAGCCACTATGGAAAACAGTTCCTCAAAATATTATATACAGAATTACCATATGATTCATCAATTCCACATCTGAGTTTATACCCAAAAGAATTGAAAGCAGGGATTCAAACAGATATTTGTACACCCGTGTTCAAAGCATTATTTACAATAGTCGAAAGGTGGAAGCAACCCAAGTGTCAATCAACAGAGTGGAAAGCTATTATGTGGTACATACATACAATGGAATATTATTAAGCTGTAAAAAGGGACAATTCTGAGACACGCTATATAACATGGACGAACCATGAAGATGTTATGCTAAGTGAAATAAGTCCATCACAAAAGGATAAATACTGTATAATTCCATTTGTATGAGTAGTAAAGTTCACAGAGACACAAAGTAGAACAGTGATAGAGGTAGGAGACAATGGAGAGTTCTTGTTTGTTTAGTTGGTATCGACTTTCAGTTTTACAAGACAAAAAAAGCTAGAGACAGATTGTGGTAATGGTTGTATACCAATGTGAATGTATTTAATGCTACTGAACTTAAAAATTATTAACATGGTAAATTGTATGTTATGTATATTTTACCACATTAAAAATGCATGAGGTATAAACTCATTGTGAAGTACGTGTTTAAGTATTGCATTTTCATTTATGTTATCTATAGCAATATATACAATATATAATACATCATATTGTGTGTAAATGCATAGAATAACAGTGTATACACATAATATGAAAATGCATAGCACTGTGCAAGTACATGTTAGTAAATAACAGACTGCAATTTTAATTTTTTAATTTTTTAAATTCATGGAAGAGTTTTCACTAAGCCTTTGACACTGGTTACCTCTAGGGAAAGAAATGAAAGTTCCAGGAATGAGTGAAGAAGAACATAGTTCTATATTTTTAGTTTTGTATAGTGACAATGTAGTGATGAGTTACTTTTCAAATGCAGTATTAAAAAGCTAAAAACATTTTTTACAAAAAAAAAGATAGAAAGTGAAAAAAAAGGACCAGGGCCCAGAAGTTTTACTGGGAGAGTTTGCAAAACCTCAAGTAAACAGGTAAGTGCATAAAAAGAAGACTGAAAGGTCCTTGTTAATGTAACTAAAATAATTCAGATACTCAAACCAAACATAGCACAAAAATAAACACATGAACCACATCTTAATTATGACTATGGATGTATAAAAACAATAAATAAAATAAAAGCAAATTAATTCCAGAATTCTATCATAAGAATTATACATCATGAGGAAACAGAATATATCCTAAAAATGAATTACTGACTTAACATAAAACTTATTAATGTAACTGGTTATATCAACATATCAAAGAAGGTGCACATCATGATCATTTAAATGAATATAAAAATGTGTCTGATATAATTCAGCATATGATAAGATTCCTATTAAAGCTAGGGATACAATAGAAAGAAATATCCTCAATTTGATAAAGAATCAAAAGCCATGAGCAGATTTTATGGTGAAACATCAGAATTACTTGCATCATAGTAATAAAACAAGGATTATTACCACCATCTTTTCCACACTTTTCTGGAGATCCTTATCCCAGTCAATGTAATTAGAAAATAAATAATTTATAGGAATATATGTTAGAAAGAAACACTTTTAAATACCATTATTTGTAGGCTGTCAAATAAAACTTCAAGAAGAAAAAATCGATTACAGGCCAATACCCCTGATGAATATAGATGCAAAAATTCTCAAAAAAAATATCAGCAAGCCAAACTCAGCAGCACATTAAAATAATCATTCACCATAACAAAGTGGGATTTATTTTCACAGGATACAAGAATGGTTCAACATACACAAATCAATCAATGTGCTACATCACATTAATAAAATGAAAGAAAAGAATCCTATGATTATCTCAATACAAACAGAAAAAGCATTTGACAAATTTTAACATCCACTCATTATATATAAAAAAAAAACATCTTAGCAAATTAGGCATAGAAGGAACATACTACAATATATTAAAGGCAATATATGACAAGCCCACAGCTAGCATCATACTCAATGGTAAAAGGTTGAAAGCTTTTCCTCTAAGAACAGGAACAAGACAAAGATGCCCATTCTCACCTCTTCTATTCAGCACAGTACTGGAAGTCCTAGATAGAGCAGTAAAGCAAGAAAAAGAAATAAAAGGTATCAGAATTGGAAAAGAAGTAAAATTGTCTCTACAAATGACATGATTTTGCATAAAATTGCCCCTTGAACAATGCATAAGAGCATCAACCACTCATGCCATCAAAAATCTGCATATAACTTCCCCTAAAACTTAACTGCCACTAGCCTGCTAATGATCAGAAGCCTTACATATAACATAAACAGTTGATGAATACATATTTTGTATAAGCATTATACATTGTATTCTTACAATAAAGTAAGCTAAAGAAAAAATGTTTTCAAGAAAGTCATAGGGAAGAGAAAATACATTTATAGTACTGGACTGTATTTATCAAAAATAAAAATCCACATATAAGTGGATCCATACAGTTCAAACCCATTGCTGTTCATGAATCACCCATATCAAAAATCCCAAAGATTTAACATACAATTAACATACAAAAATCAGCAGCATTTCTGTACACCAAAAATAAATCTTCTGGAAAAAAATAAAGAAATTGATGCCGTTTACAATAGCATCAAAAATAATATTAGGAATAAATTTAACTAAGGAAGTGAAAAATCTCTGAAAACTGCAAGACAGGAATGAAAGAAACTGAAGAAGATACATATAAAAGTAAGGGTATCTTATGTTCATAGATTGGAAGAATTAATATTGTTAAAATGTCATTACTACCAAAGGCCATCTACAGATTTGATCCAATCCCTATTAAGATTCCACTAGCATTTTTTACAGAAGTATGAAAAATATTCCTAAAATTTACATGGAACCAGAAAAGACCCCAAATAGTCAAAGAAATTCTGAGAAGGAAGAACAAAGCAGGAGGCATCAAACTTCCTATTTTCAAGCTATACTTTAAAAAACTCAGTTACTAAAACATTATGGTATGTTGGGGCACCTGGGTGGCAAAGTCGTCTGAGTGTCCAACTCTTGGTTTCAGCTCAGGAGTGATCACAGGATTATGAGATCAAGCTCCCTGTCCCCACTGGGCTCTGTGCTCAGCAGAGAGTCTGCTTAAGATTCTCTCTCCCTCTGCCTCTCCCCCCATGCTCTCTTACTCCCTCTCTCTCAAATAAATAAATATTATTTAATAAAACAGTATGGTATGTCATAACAAAAAAATAGACCATTGGAGAAGACTTCAATGGAGAAGTATCAACAGCTCAGAAATAAACCCAAGTACATACAGTCAAGTAGTATTTGACAAGGGAGCGAAGAATACTCAATGGAGAAAAGACAGTCTCTTTAATAAATATGCTAAAATAATTGGATTTTCACACTTAAAAGAATGAAACTGGATCCATATTTTACACCACTCACAAAAATTAACTTGAAATGGATTAAAGACTCAAGTGTAAGATCTGAAACCATGAAACTCTTAGAAGAAAAC